ACTTTGACAAAAAGAATCTCTCTGTCCGAAGCACTCTGCTTTTTTTGTCCATAATTCCTACTGGTACCTCCTCATCGGATAGATCCTCCTGGATTGAGAATGGCTCATAGGATAAGATGTGTGAGAGGTCTAGGTTGTACTTGCGTAGTATGGATACATAAAATATATTATGGACTCTTGATAGCTCTGGAGATAGTACTAGTCTGTAAGCGGACATACCAATCCTGTCTAAGATTTCAAATGACCCAATGAACCAGATATTTAATTTCTCCCTCTTTCCAAATATGTTGATTCTCTTGAAATGGGTTATCTTAAGAAACACTCGACCACTTTTCTCAAATTCCAAATTCTTCATTCGGGTGTCAGCAAAACTCTTTTGCCTGCTCTGAACTGTCTGGATTATCTTCCTGATTTTAACTATCTTGACTGTAGTCTCCTCTATAAGATCCGGACCAAATAATTTTCTATCGTCCACCTAGAGCTTTGCATTATTGATTATTCGAGCTGTCCATCATGATCTATCTCATCCGTTTGATCATCTCTAAAGAGGAAATGTATCGTGGCCATTCATGCACGTGGGATGAGATTTGGGTTGTCGAATTGTTAGGCACACGGATCCCTTATGTGGCTTCCCACGCAATGCCGATGTCAGCGGGATTGCTACACGGCATACTCCGATTCACCGAAGTTACTGACTGGGCTATCTCACGTGGCTGAACTTTTTTTATTTGCATTTTAACTCTCTATTTCTAGTTTTTCTTTCAAAAATACATATCGAATTCAAAATTTCATTCATTTTTTCTAAATTTGCTTTCAATTTCGTCCCTAATTCATTTTTCTAAAAAAAAATTCGATAAAACTTAATTAAAATAAATAAAATTACTTATTAAAATATTTTTAAAATAAAAAAATCATGCTGGACTGATTTTTGGGCCTGGATATTACAGTCCATGGCCACCACACGACATGTAGTGATTCGTCGTGTCGGTGACTGGACATCTACATGACTTGTTTATCCTCTTTTCGCGAATTGACCTCTGTTTTTAAATTTTTTTTCAAACAGGTCTCTCATCTATTTACAATTATGCTCAGGTTTCTGAATTTATTTTCAAAATGGTCCAAAATTAACCTTTTAATTATTTCTTTATCATTTGACGATAAATTAATTTTTATACACTCGTTCTGCCATAAAATAGAAATCAAAATGAGATAAATGAGTGAAAATTCATGAAATTAAACAAATCAAAAGTGTTTTTGTTCATTCAAAATTAATTGATTGCGTTTCAAATTTGGAGTGTTACGATAAATATAAAATTATAAATTCAAAACGGGTATGGTATGAATATGAGATAATAATGTACACATCCAACACTATCCCATCTCTAATATATGATTAATATAATTTTACGATTAATATAATTTAACTTAAATTAATTAAATTTATATTGTTACATTATATTTAAATATTATTTTAAAATATATATTTTTTATTAATATTTAAAATGTCCTAATTAAATTTTATACATCACGAAAGTAATTAATAGATATAACATCATTTAATTAAAAACATGAAGTAACGAAATCCTAATGCATTTGTAAAATAAATAAATAAATAAGAAAAACTAATTAAAATTATTTATAAAGGAACTTTAATATTTAAATAAAATAAAATAAAATTTTAGAGTTGAATTTAAGTACCAAATTAATTATAACTCTCCGCTATAAAAATATTAATGCTAATTATAGTGTTCTAAGTCATATGAACGGGCCATGGAATACTTTTAAAATGTTTGAAATCAATGAGAGAATATGGTGGTTCGAGCTTTTTATAACCTTTGAATTTTATGTTGGCATCTCTTTGTTGTGTACATTTTGTAATTAATTCAAATCTAACTTAAATCAATAAAATCAAATAGAAAAAATAGAAGAAAAAAATAATAGTTTTATTTGTTTAATATTAAATTTAATTATATTTTTAATTGATTATATTTATTTTAATTTAAAATTTATATTATTATGAATAAAATATAATAATTTCGTTAATATTTAATTTAAATTAGTTACTATAATATTTTAAAATAATATTTATATTTATGTGAAAGCAAGGGGTTACCATTTATTTTGTCAAGATAAAGGGGACCAAAATCTATGGTCCATATTTAGAATAAATCTATAAATTTGATGGGCTTTGGTAAAATTATGGTTAATATATTTTTAAAATACTCTAACAGTCATACAAATTATTTTCTTAATAAATTGTAAAAATTAATTTTGATATAAGAAAATTAAATCAAAAATATTAAAGTACTGATAGTGCAAAGTCTGATTTTGTATGAAAATATAATTTATTTTATTGTATTATGTATTAATGTACAATACATATAATATAATATCTGATTCAGTATCTTATACAATAATAAATATATATTATTATATTATATATTAATATATGATACATATAATATGATATCTAACTCTTATATAATGCAAAAGTAAATATAATATATATATATTTTATGACATAATATATATTAATTTTGTATAAAATAATACTCGAATATAAGATGAACATTATCCTATTTGTATGGTGGTGAATTAAATAATATTGATCTAATTTGAATTGATTAGTATTTTTTAATATTAAAAATTAAAATAATAATGCACAATATATATATTATGTAAATAAAGTATTAAAATATTAAATGTGTAAATAATATATGTATATATATTTTTTTAGTATTTAAAATTAAGACAATTATACAAAATAAGAAATTTATGGTTGGAATTAAAATATCTAAAAATGTTTTTATATAATTTTGATATAATTGGATCCGGTTCGACCGGTCTAAATTTGGACCGATACTCACCCCGTACGGTCCATATATCAAATCCCACAAAGGTGCGTGTACATTTCGGCACCGCTGCTGTCAACGTCATGCATGCGTACTTATCATATACTAAAAAGTTCATGATTTATTATTATTATTTTTTTAAAAAAAAGGTTTACTGATGATATTTGTCTCATCCCATCAAATTATATACAATATTTTATTATATAGGCCAAGTTTAAATTTGGAAAATGTGATTTTATTTTTGTTTTAGAGGGATAAATTTGTAATTTCATATTAATGGTTGGAAAAAAAAATATCTCGTGTTTAGTTTGAATGCATGGGAAAGATTCAGATGACTAAAACGACTGCGTACAGTGCCGCACATTGAAAAACAGCCGGTACAAGAGTCGTGCACGAACCACTAACTCCCGCCCTCATTTTTCTTTTCTTTTTTTTAAATAAAAAAAATATATATGTATTTAACATATAAGAAATTATAAAATTTAACAAGAAGATTGTAATTATCTTAAAAAATATTTTAATAAATTTTTTTGTGTACATCTTTTACAAAATTACATTATCAAAATTTAGAAAAACTATATTCAAATATCATAAAATTAAAATTAATGAATAATTAAAATGTGAATTTGTCTTATTAGATTGAAAGGGTAAGAACGTGTATGAGACCGAAAGTACATTTCTCCGGAGGCCCCACGTTGCTTGCGTTTTGTTTGTATCAACGCAACCAAGTTTGTCGTTTAACACTTTATAAAAGCTGTTATTCATAAAAACCGCCTAGCTGTACGCCGTACGCGTGAGGGGCCAACGATAAGTACCGGACGACCACGCGTTGCCCATTCTCTCTGTCTTTGATAAGTACACTTGGTTTTACTACGATACAGTATTTTAAGCAAACTTTTTATTTACACATTTAGTAAATATGTAATTTATAGACTGTAAATTTCATCTAAATTAACCATAAAAATAACAAGTTACAAATATTTACCGAAGTCAACCTAACACCCATTTGACAGAAATCTCACTTTTTCAAAACAAATTAATTTGGTAATTTATAAAAAATAAAATTCCATTAAGCCAAGCAAAATAGGGTAAAAGAGGAAGAAGATGGATCAATTTCTGCAACACAAAAAGCAGAATAGGATTTGATTAGACGGCTTTAAATGATATAAGAAGATAAGCTTATAAAGAGGTACCTCTTGATCTTATCATATACTTTTTTCCTTTCTCAATTTCTTGTTGTTTTCATTTTATTTTATTTTTTGTTTAATGAAATATTGCATAAATAGAATATGAGATGTGTACGTGTCTGATATTATAAAGTCCCCAATTTTTTTTTATATAGAATAATTTGTATTAATCTTACTCTATACAAAAAATTAAAACTATAATCTACATCTTAAATTATATGATTTCAATAATTATGGACTATATCTTGATGATTAGCATTTTTGCGGTTGCTTTATTTGGATATGCTAAATATTATACCGCACCCAAGTGGGTTATTTACCTTTTTGTTTCCAGTGACTTTTGGTATATTTACAAGTATATTCCTTTGGCTTGTTATATTAATATATTAAATTATCTATTAAGTCAATTATATTAATATATTAAATTATTTAAACAGGTCTAAACGAGTCATGCGAATTTAATGTGTTTAGATTAATTTTTTAATAATTTTAAAAATCAAATTATTAATTTAATTTAACGTTAATTTTATTATTATCATTATTAATAAAATAATAATTTCAATTTTGCCATTCTTATAAATTTTATTATGACATAGAAGATTCAACTAAAATATTGAAACTAAAAGATAATTAAAAAATATAAAATAAAATAAAATAAATCATTTACCAATAACGTAAGCATCAATTGCATTACATTGAAGATTCTTTCTTATAGATATTATAAAAATCTGTTGGCTTTCCTCCAGCCGACGTTACGCAACACAAAACGAACAACCGAAACCACAAAAAGGCGAGCGGCACACCGTTAAATTTTTTATAAAAATTAAAAAAATTATTCGATTTTTTATTTAAATTTTGTTAGCATCGTAAAGTAATGCCGATGACACGTGTCCTCCAATAAGCCACCGCCACTGTGGCTACTGTTCTCCTAGTGGCAGCACAACAGCTTTATAAGGACTCGCTTATCTTCTTTCGTCGTCTCAAAGCGGCGCCAGTCTCTCCCTCTCTTTCTCTCTCGTTCTCTTTGCGTTTCTTTACCTTTTTTCTCATTTTATCTGTCGTCGTGGAGAATGCGATTCGAGGAATATTACAGGTCAAGCGCCGGGAAATGGCTGGGGTTCGTGACCGCCGTTTGGGTGCAAGCCATATCGGGAAACAATTACACGTTCTCCAACTATTCCGACGCGCTCAAGACTCTCATGAACCTCACTCAGCTGCAACTCAACAACTTATCTGTCGCTAAAGATGTTGGAAAAGCTTTTGGTCTCTTGGCTGGTTTGGCCTCCGATCGCCTCCCAACTCCGGTTATTCTCCTAATTGGCTCCGTTGAAGGACTCGTTGGATATGGTGCTCAGTGGCTCGTTGTTAGTCGGAGAATCAAACCTCTATCTTACTGGCAGGTCTTTGGTTTTATAGTTACGCCATTTCTTTATTGGTTTATATATGCTGTTTTCTTACTTTTTGTTTTTGAAATGGAAGCAGATGTCTGTGTTTTTATGCTTGGGAGGTAATAGCACGACGTGGATGAACACGGCGATTCTCGTAACTTGTATTCGAAATTTCCGGCGGAATAGGGGGCCGGTTTCCGGGATACTAAAAGGTTACGTAGGGTTGAGCACGGCCATTTTTACCGACCTCTGCGCTGCATTGTTCTCGGATGATCCGTCCACGTTTCTTCTCATGCTGGCACTTGTTCCTTTGGCCGTTTGCCTAACCGCTATATTCTTCCTCCGTGAGGTCCCCGTGGCCACCACCGTTGCCGAAGAGAAGGAAGAGTCTCGCTACTTCACTGTCTTCAACAGCGTCGCCGTCGTCGTAGCTGTGTATCTCCTCGTCTACGATTTGACAGGTCCAAAAAGCCAACCGATCTCCACCGCGTTCGCCATTGTTCTCCTCGTTCTGTTAGCTTCTCCGTTGGCTGTTCCTCTGTATTGCTTCATGCGGAGCTGGAATTCGGCTCCGCATAGAGTGGAAGACGTAGAGGAACAGGCAGAGCAGCCGCTGCTGAAACAGGAAATTAGGCCGGAGAATACGGAGAGTACGCCGGCGGAAGCTGAGCCGGTTGAGACGAAGAGGAAGCCGGTACTGGGAGAAGAGCACACGATCATCGAAGCGCTGTTGACCTTTGATTTTTGGATATTGTTCTTGTCGTTTCTGTGCGGCGTAGGGACGGGGTTGGCGGTGATGAATAACATGGGGCAGATCGGGTTCGCTTTGGGATACGCCGACGTTTCGATCTTCGTGTCCATGACGAGTATTTGGGGATTTTTTGGACGGATCGGTTCCGGAACTGTCTCAGAATATTTTCTCAAGTAAGTTCACTAAATTCACGTTTGCTTTATTAGTTCAATTCAATTTAGTGCTGCTTAATTTTATTTTTGTGCTAATTCTGCATATTAAGAGAAATTTTTTGTCATAATTTCTTTAATTTTCCGTATGAATAACTTCTAGTTGCACACTCTTTAAAACATATAGTATATGTAGGTTTTTTTTTATGTTAGATATCATAATTAGATATAAAACTACAGTTATAATTTGTTCTCTTTTTTTTTTTTTTTTAATTTAAAATTAATGTATTTTTGCCTAAGAAATTTATTAGGGGACAAAAATTATGTTTTCTTACATTTATTGGAAAGTTTTGTTTTGAATTATTTCATGGAATTCTAGAAATATAAATGGATTGGGAAATGCTGTAAATCAACGCAAGCTACATGTTGGATTCTTGAGGTTGATTGCTGATTTTTTTTTTTTTTTTTTCTTTCGTCGTCGTCCTTTTATTACTACTTTTAAAAAATTCGTCAACTACACGTTCTTTTACTTTTCTCTGTTTTTGGCGGGTAGTCCCTTGGAACTAAAGGTTACTTGCCTGACGACACATACTATAAAATCTTTGGCATTTTTTTCTAGGAAAGCTGCTTGACTTTATGCTTCCAGGAGATAATTTTGAGTGAAAATTTGAGGAAAATTACAGGTTTTATTAACAATTCAAAGACAAGTTTTGTGATAATTCAATCCTTATATAATATAAGATTATTACCTTCTTATAATGTTATTTAATATTTTTAAAAGTTCAAAGTATTCCTCATTAAATTTATTTTGTTGTTTTCCTAAAAAGAAAAATAAATTGCTTAGAAGTAATATTTTTCTTTTGGAGGAAGGAAATCAATTAGCATTAGGCGCGGGGGGGGTTGGTGGTGTTATTTAGATGTCTTTGTGGCAAAGTAAACATTGTTGCCATGGACTGAAATTCCACAACTAGTTGGAGTCAAATTTAAGGTACGTTAGGAAAAACTATGGTTTATAGCTTTCGGACGTAACATGGGTTGTCTGGGCTGGACTCGATTTCAAGGGAAGGAAAAACTAGCGAGTCGTGACTCAGTGAGTCAGGTACTCATCGGGTTTCACTCAATCCGAATATGACCCGAACCCGAATTGAATGGAAAAATTTGTACTCTACCCATCGTATAACAAAAATATATTAAAAAATTACGGATGTATTAAATTGAATTGAGAGAAAGATCAACTCATTTAGTAACCCTTTGTTTGCAGGAAAGCTGGAACACCAAGGCCTCTATGGAATGCGGCTTCACAGATATTAATGGCTGTTGGGTACATTCTCATGGCCCTAGCAATGCCCGGTTCTCTCTACCTCGGTTCAATTGTTGTCGGCATCTGTTACGGAATCCGTCTAGCCGTCACGGTCCCAACCGCCTCTGAACTTTTTGGCCTCAAATACTACGGTCTTATCTACAACATCTTAATCCTCAATCTCCCACTTGGCTCCTTCCTCTTCTCCGGCCTTCTGGCCGGTATTCTCTATGATAGAGAAGCTACTCCGATTCCTGGAGGCGGCAACACTTGTGTCGGAGCTCATTGTTATAGGCTTGTTTTCATCATTATGGCCGTAGCTTGCGCTGTTGGATTTGGTTTGGACATTTTACTTGCACTTAGAACGAGAAATGTTTACTCGAAAATTCACAGGACCCGCAAGTCGAAAAAATTGGTGGACTCTTCAAGCAATCGTTGATTGATTAGCTGCGTTGAGATGGATGAGCATCTAAGCTCATTTGACATCCTGAACTTTACTGGTTATTTTCAAAACAAAGGCATATAATTTTTGAGAGATATAAGTGCCTTTGCTCATGACCTTGGTAGGGAGTTCAGTTGATGAAATGATATGTGTAATCTGTAATCCTGTTTGGCCGTTAGGTGTGTGTCTACAAATTCTACATCTTATTCTTTAATGATCATTTATTTATCTGATCAAACTTTTTAATAAAATTTATTTTCAATTTTCAAGAATAAAATATATTTTGAATCAATATTTGCGCAGTAAAAACAATTTAAAAGGTAAAAGAAATTGAAAGGAGTGAGCAAGCTATAGAACTCTATATGCATAGAGTGAAAAGTTAATGTCCAAATTATAAATGGTTGAAAGAGTGTGTCACGGTGATCAAGATCAAGAGACACGAGGAGTCCCCCTCATTGAAGCTTGGTATTCTCCACTGAGATAAGCCATCGGCACAAATATTATTCTGAAGGAATAACGTGCAAAATTTTGATGGCCTAATTCAATTTGTAAGAGGACCCTACTTTGACTTTTCACCTTTATAGACGGCAACTACTTTCACAGAATTCTATAGGAGCTCCTATGAACTTCAAGTAACATGGAACCACTAATACCGAGATTGCACATGAAGTTTGGTAACCTAATGAACATGACTGTTCCAAATGAACCATTAATCCCCTTTGCACAAAGCTATCACTGTTGAGCTTAAACTGAATATGAAAGGAGGCCTTCTTTGGGCCGAGTTCTTTTAAATGAGATGTACAAGCAAGCAAGGAGGTTCTTTCTTGGGCTTGCTCCGGTGGTCCAAATTATTTCATATATATTCATTTAAAGGATAAATAACTTGGAAACATACATTTGTTTATTGAAAAAAATATATATTTTTTTTTCAGAAAATGAAAACAAAAATAACCAAATATTTTAAAACAAGGATAAAAATTTAACTTGTAAGAACCCTCAAGGCCTAAAAACTTGTAGTGCCTTAGGAGATGCCTCCGCTCCATTTGGGGGGGAGGGGGGATGGATAAACCAAGATGAAGAAGCAAACAACAAATTAGGTGACCAATTAGTGTGGTAGGTGAACAAAGACAATGAAAATTTCTGGCTTAATCTCCAAAAAAATTCAATACACTTCAAATGGTTACTTCAATTTCTTACTAAACGCCTTGTTTTGGATGCCAAAATTAGGTCGCCATTGTATCTATGATGGATGCATGTGAAGTCATGGTCCCCCATATCATGCACGCATGCACGTCCAAGCCATCAATTAGAAACCCTAAAAGAACCAGATGAAGAAGACAGTGGATACAAAACAAGGGTAAGTGGAGTAAACTTCAAATCCAAGGCACCCTACCCTTGCATGCCTCCGACCGAGGCACCACCATTCCATGATCACTTCTTTTTTTTAGTGTCATTCCCCATGTTTTCTTGCTACCCACTCTCCCTAATCTATTAGGTTAATTTAGTATCAGTTTAAGATTAAAACTCCTACGCTGTATTCATTTTATTTTATTACTAAATATAACGTGCTGCAGAATATTTTAATTAACTAAAATTTTAAATGAAGATTAATTAAGATTGAGTGATGTACAGTAGTCAAGAAGATTCTTACTTTGCACATTTTGCAAATTCAAGATTTAACATTCATAATTTGTTAAGTTATTAGTTGTGGGAAGTAGGTTTTACAAAATCTGAATGAAGCCAAGGAAAAAATAAAAAATGAAACAGCTGTCTATTGGGAATTCCAAGGTTTGTACATTTAACATTTTCAAAAGATGACTAACCAAGAGTCTGATTATAATTCACAGAAAAAAAAAAAAAAACAGTAAAGTGCAGAGGCTAAAAATAAATTTCCACTCAATTACAAAATTCACATGACGAAATCTCTCTCATAAAACATGTGATTACCCAGTACTGTGCCCTTGTGAGCTCACCTCTAAACCCTTAACTCCCTCATATATATGTGTTCATGTAGTTACATAAGTATGTGTGTATATATACACACGACTCATCCATGGAACTGTGAAGGGTAGGATCCTCAGAGGACAGAATGAAACATTTTCTTCTTCTTCTATTGGTGGGAGGCTTCTTGGTTCTTGTTACGGCTTCATATGGTTCATTTCTCTATCTCATCTTTCTTCTCATTGACGTTCTCAAAGCTTAATTAAATCAACCTTACTTCTTGGTTTTCTTTTTTATGTTTTCCAGATGGGCCTTTATATGATTTTACTGCTTATACAGAGGTAAAAAGAGAAAATTTAAACGGGAGAAAAACTATTATTAAAAGATTTTATCTGGGTTTCTGTTAAATCTATGATTCTTGTAATTTGCAGTGTAAATTGAAACCAGAGAACCCACTTTACGACGGAGGGATTCTCAAAGATTACCCGTCTGTTGTTCAATATAAAAGAAGTGTGGACACATTTTACACCCCAGCTTTTGTACTGCATAATCTAACTCAAGGCTCCATTTACTGCTTCTCCAGTTAGTATTTCTCCTCCTCCTCCTCCTCCTTTTTCTTCTTTCAATTTGATCAGCATGAAAAATGAATCTTGAATTGGCTAATTGTAAATCGATTGTGCCCAACAGCTTGGGTGAAGATCGAGGGACGAGCAGGTTCGGCGCATATCAGGGGAAGCCTGAAGACAGACAACAAAACTTATAACTGTATTGGGACTGTTTTAGCCAAGTCTGGTTGCTGGTCTTTTCTCAAGGGTGGTTTTGTTGTTGATTCACCATCAACTTTGGCTTTACTCTTCTTTCAGGTTAAACTTTGTTCTTAACATGCCAAAGAAAGTTTTCGATTATGGGACAACTAAATGATGGATTCTTAATTCTGTTTACGCCAGAATTTGAATGATACGGATTTGAATATAGCAGTTGCCAGCAGCTCATTGCAGCCGTTTACTGAAGAACAATGGAAGATCAACCAGCAGTATATAATAAACACTGTAACTACTGGTAACACTTTAGTCTAGTAAGTTCCTGTTTGGTTGCCAAGAAAATGAATCATCAAAATATATTCATTTTATTAGGCAATGCTATTTGTTAGAGAAGTAGTCAATGCTATTTGTTTAACAGTACATTTTCAGGCCCGAAAGCGTGCGGTGACTATCCATCTATCTGATAGAAATGGAGATAGATTACAAGGAGCAGAAATTACAGTAGAGCAGATTTCTAAAGATTTTCCATTTGGATCTGCAATAGCAAAAACCATTCTGGGTAATTTGCCTTATCAAGTAAGTGCTGCAGCTTATAAAAGTTTATTAATCTCCAGGTTTTCAGAAATTCTTTTCTAAAAAATATTTCTTTCTGAATTGTTACAGAACTGGTTTGTGAAGCGATTCGATGCAACAGTATTCGAAAACGAACTAAAGTGGTATGCAACAGAGCCTAAACAAGGGAAGACCAATTACGCCATTGCAGATCAGATGATGGAATTTGTGAGAGCTAATGGAATTATTGCCAGAGGCCATAATATTTTCTGGGAAGATCCTAAATACAACCCTTCCTGGGTTCTAAACTTGACCGGTCCCGAGCTGCAATCAGCTGTCAACTCCAGAATTCAAAGCTTGATGAGCAAATACAAAGAAGAATTCATTCATTGGGATGTCAGCAATGAGATGCTTCATTTCAATTTTTACGAACAACGACTTGGTCCGAATGCAACCCTGCAATTTTACCAGACAGCAAGCCAGGCTGATCCATTGGCAACATTGTTCATGAATGAATTCAATGTGGTGGAGACTTGTGGGGATGAGAAATCAACAGTTGATACATATATTGCCAGAGTGAGAGAGCTGGAAGGAGGAGGTGTTTCGATGAATGGGATAGGGTTAGAGGGTCATTTTACAGTGCCAAATCCTCCATTAATGAAAGCTATAATTGATAAGTTAGCTACTTTGAAGCTTCCCATTTGGCTGACAGAAGTGGATATTAGCAGTAAACTTGACATGGAAACACAGGTCAGAAATCTTATCCATTGCCCAACTAATTACTTCTTGTTGAGAAAATAAATTCTTAATAAGCACACAATCACAATAAAGTAGAACAAAATATAAAATATATAAGATTTAACGTGATTTGACTAAGCGCTTACATTTACAAACAGAATCCATAAAACACTTTTTTACTATAATAATTTGATTGTACATCGGTAATAAAGTTATATGCTTTTAAATAGAGAAAGTTATGAGAGTTTTACTCTTACAAAATTTTTTATTATATACACAATATATTTTTTATGATAAATACAAATCTCCAGAAATATATATAAAATATTTTCAAAATATAGATAAGATATTCTCAAATTCAAGTTACAACAACACACAAAATAAAGAATAAAATAAAAAAAAATTATAAAATTTAACGTGATTTGTCGAGTATGTATTAAGGGATAAAACTCGGAACAAATTTTTGTAATCAAATATTTAGTAAAATTATGAGTTTTTAAGCTGAATTTTAACAGGGTGCTTATCTGGAGCAAGTGTTGCAAGAAGGCTTTTCACATCCGGCAATAGAGGGGATAATGCTATGGACTGCTCTGCATCCAAATGGTTGCTATCAGATGTGTTTGACCGATCAGAATTTTCGAAACCTGCCGGCGGGTGATGTGGTTGACAAGCTTCTCCAAGAATGGCGGACTGGAGAGTTAAAAGGTGAAACAGATGAATATGGTTCATATAACATGTATGGCTTCTTGGGTGAATATAGATTGAGTGTTGTGTACGGTAACAGGACAGCAACTTCAACATTCTCCCTCTGTAAAAGCAGAGAAACTAAACATATTCGCGTTCAATTGTAGCTTACAATCTACATATGTATGTGTGTGTGTATATATATATATACACATACATGTATACTGCATGCATGTGTGTGCATATATATATATATATATGTTGACATAGATAGTAAATCAGTTAACAAGACTGCAATATCTTATCTGGTGTAATTGAAAGTGCAAGCTAGATTTTGCATGATTAGGCTTAATTACAATAAGCTAATTAATACGAATTAAACTTAATTAGAGGCAATGGGTTATTAGAAGTTTGAAGGTTCCAACTCCTCTAATTTTTGTATTTTATTTTTTTTTAAAGTTAAAAATGTATTTAGTTTGGACATCATAATGAATAATATATATATACATATACACACTTTAATTTTTATTTAGTAATCACAATTTTTTAAAATATTTTTTGCCAATTGAAACGAAATTCAAGCTCAAGTTACATACTTCAGAACTTAATCAAACAATGTTAGAACATGTATAGAAATATTCTTTAAAAAATGCGAGCCACAAAATTAAGTGAACTCATGTAGTGAAATGATTGCACATACAACACATTTTGTAGTCTTGCTATTGGCTTCAAGATTCCTCTAAGGTAAAAAAGAAAAAGTAACTAGCAGCCAAAAACTTGAAGTACCCGCAAAGAGATCCGCCAACTACTCTATTCTACTTGCAAATTCACACTAACCCAGATTTCCCATTTGCTTTTTTTCTTTTGATCCTGTAATGAAATTATATATAACCAGATGGAGGTTCACCCACAAGAATTATTCTCTGAAAAACTATTTGAAAATTGAGGAGACAGAGAATCCCCAACTGGGTCCATTTACAATCTGGAATTAGAATCCTTGTCAGCTATGATGGTCATCATCATCACAGTTCTTCAATAAAATAAATTAATAAACACATAAAGCCCATCATTACGCCTGCAAATCTGTTAAATAATTCAAATTAATTAAACAAAAACCACATTGATTGATATTGGAATTAAGGAAAGAGTTGGGCTACAAGTACACAAACGAGAAAACGAGAGTAAAAGTTGAGGATGCGATGAGAAGTAAATGAAATCCGGCATTTTGCAAGCTTGTTCTTCTTGGTGAATCTCCCATGGCTAACCCGGCCAACCATGACCCGTCTCCAAACATGGTCTCCCCAGATCCGGGTACTGACCCAGTTTCAGAATACCCATAACCCTCACCCGAGTACCCCATACCCGACTCTGTCCCTTGCTGCTGCGATGCTGTTCCTCCTGTCATTGGTGTTGAATAATAATAGCTTGCGGATTTTTGACTGCAACAACCCATTTTTCACCATAGAAAAAGATTATTTCTTGCAGTAAAAAAATGAAAATTTAATAGAATCTGTCAGAATTTTCTCGGAAAATTTAAGGCGACAACAACCACATTTAAGTCTTGATTAGCTTAATCTTGAAGTGATTAATACTAAAAGTTGTATAAATCTATAAATAAATCTACAAAAGATATACTAATAAACCAAAAGGGAATATTTGGCCTTGCTTGTTCGATTTACTTCCAAAAACATTTTGCTTACATGGGTCAAAAAAAAATTTTAACTTGGGCAACAAAGAGCTGCAAAACCAAGTAGTCAAGTGAAAAGGAAGGAGATTTTTTTACCTTGGCGAGGAGGGACAAAACGTCACCGTATAATCTGCGCCGGTACAGGTAAACGTGCTCGTAGCATCATCGTACGCGTAGCTATACGACCGGGGACAAGCGGCCTTGAACATCTCCGAGTAAACTGACGGCCGGCAAGTGTCAGGTGTTCTATACGCGCCGCTGCAGCAGTACTCAGGGCTCCCGAAAGCCAGGCACGCGCTTTTGCAACCGCTGCCGTAACCGGCACGGAGCTCGGCCGGGCACTGCCGGTTCAAATCTGTGGAGCATCCGGTAGAAGCGCACGGACCTGACCCGCCACTCCCTTCGACGATTAGAGGTAGATTGTACCCGTCGACGAGGCTGACGTCATAGAAGTCCTGGCCGCCCGTTCCTAGAGTGAACTCTGCGAGTGTGACCGGCGGGGCGGCTCCCATTCCGTTGCACTCCATTAGCCCCGACCCGCAATCGGCGGTCGCACACGACCCGGCTCCGGATCCATCAAAGTTACAGCCAGTTCGGGCCCAGAAGCGACCGGACCAACCCGTAGGGGCCAGAAAAGACCGCGAAGAGTCTTTCGGGAGCTCGAATCCAGTGGTGTCGAGTGCAGGGGAGCCTGCATTGGCGAGAATCCCCGGCCATACAGTGAAATCACATCTGTTGACGAACGTGAAAGTAGCACCTGAAACACCTGAAAAATTTCCCAAAACAGAGACAACGTTTAGAGATAAAACATTGCAGAAATTGAAATTTCAAACAAACCCAGATGAGGAAATGCAAAACCCATAAAGAAAACGAAAAGGCTGAAAAGATTTTAGAAATGCAGGAAATAATCTGAGGAGAAAAAAGGCGAAATCTCTTCTTCTACATTGTTTTACCTCTAGAGATCAAAAGCAGAGCAAGGAGAACAACAAGGTGAGTGAATGAACTACAAGGGGAAAGATCCATGTGGGTTTTGCTACGTTTGCTTTTCATCCTTTCCTCCGTCTTCCACCTTTCTCGGGGAATGTTTGGTAAGAGTAGAAATGGGAGAAAAAGAGATAACAATACTAAGCTCTCTCCTTGAGAGGAAGTAGCAGAGGCGGTGACGATTGGCGGGCCTCGGTTGATTGATCAGGTGAGTGGTGCTCAAAGTTCAATGACAATGGCGATTGGCCGTAAACCGACAGAAGTGATTTACAGATAAGAGGAGAGAGAAAATGAGGGAAACCAGAGAGTATTATAATCAATCAGGTGCTTTATAGTAACAATGCAAAACTCCATAATTGTACTATTGTGTATGTCTGACATGTGAGCGGTCTGAGGCTCACTCTTTCTTGTCAGTAATGAATTATGCGCGCCAATACACGCCCTTTACTGTCTGCAAACGGGGATAATTGGAAATCTGTAAAGTAACGGGTCGGATTAACCCGGTAACATTGTCCGTTCTACTACAAATGTAGACTAGTGAACATTGATTATGGGTTTTAGAATATTTAATTATTTTTTTTTTCTCCCTAAACGAGGATCATTAGTGGAATTAGACAAAAGTTACATGGGTTAGTGGATTAATTAATACATATTCAATAAGCTTTTATTTATTACTATAAAGTTTGAGTAATTTAATCCCACCGTAATTCACTCTTGAGTGCCCTATTACGTATTTTATTTACAAAATTATGATAAGTTAGTTAACAATAAAGAAAATAATAATGAAGATGATGATAAAATTATAAAATTTTAAATTCCATTATTTGGTATATTAAAATAATTTATTATTTACTCTAAATTTATATGTATTTATACATATGTGCATTCATAAAAATATATTGAGGTTACATATTTTGTTAAGTAATCAAAGTACATTTAAAATCATTTTATAAAGAACCTAAAAAATAATATTCAAAAGTTTATAATTTTGTTATTATTTTAATTGCTGTTAATTACTTTAGATGATTTTATGCATAACAAAATATATCCATTCAAAACATACAAATCTTAAAAAATATTTGCCATATATCAAATGAAGCATTAAATTATCTGTTTAGTATTTTGAGACAAAATTATGTTTGTAATTTGATTATTTAAGAAATATTTAAAAATTTACATATTTTTCATAGAAATAATGTGCATTATATTAAAATTATATGCAAGTCATCTATATTAAATAACCCATATATGAATCATATATTTTGATCTTGTTAACTAACTATCTATTACTGTCGATATGTTATAAATTATATACATAAGAGTTTTTTTTTTATTATAATATTTTAATTAATAATATATTTATAAATAGTTATGTAAATTATTTTAATTATTTTATCTTATTTACTAAGTAAATGGAATAATAATATTATTAATCACTAGTTAATTAAATTATCAATATTTTAATTTATTTAAAAAATTATAATTTATGTATATATATTATTGAGCATATATTTTATTTAAAACACCTTATTATTATTATTATTGGAGCCGTTAATTGTTACATTGTCCCGTACTAATCTACATTGGGTGATGGTGAAACGTGTCATTTTCCACATCGCATCATCATCCAGATCACGCTGATACGGCTCCACGTCATTTTTTTTCACGCTGATGTGGAAACAGCATGAAAATGGGGCCGGATGTCTATTGGTGAATTTCTTGCCACGTCATAAAATTTAGCCGTTGAAATTTTGCCACGCGTAAACGGCGCACAGAGCAATTATAGCAATAAAGCATTGGATCCTCTACGGCTCTCTTCTTTTGAGGAATAGTTAGAAGAAAATTTTGACCGAACTCGATGAAAATGAATTATTAAATTATTTGGCCACTGACAATTGGGTCCCACTTAGGCTTTCAATTTCAAGAGCGTGGAAAATGATTCCCATTTTTTATTTAACAAAGTTTTGCTAAATAAACTTTTTAAATTACATAAAGATATTTGACATTTTAATATAATTACTATTTTTTAAATATAAATTAGTAAAATTCAATTATTTTGAATAAAATAAGTAAATTTAATATAAACCCAATTTTCATTGCCTAAAATATAACTATAATTTGTCATTTTTAATTAAGATAAACATGAAATTGTTGGGAACGATAATTATAATTTAATTTTCCAAAAATTTATACGGATAATCGATTATTCATACGATAGAGAGAAAATTAGTTGGGTGAGAGCTCTTAAAATTAAGGTAATTGATTTTTATAGAATTTTACACGTGGAGGTCCACAGCACACGTACGAGTCATGACTTTTTTTACACATTAAAGTGAAATAATTTTGTTGCCCAACATAGATTATAATTATGAAAAGGGGATGAACAAAATTATTTACTTTTTATTTTTCGTGGAGCATGTCATAGAAAAAGTGAACCACCTGCCCACCTTTTAAATTTGGTTTTGATTGTAAACTTTTATTTCATGTACAAGGAAAAAAAATATATTTTATTTGAAATTAATTTTATATATTTATTAACTAAATATTCGTGGAACGTACGTAAAAATAAAATGATCACATAAAAATCTCCATTGTTGACTCATGATTAAACTAGAGGAACATAAATAACATAGAATCGAGACACATTTGACTAATAATGAAAGTTGTGTACATACACATTTTAAATATATTGTAATAAACATTACTCTTGCTCTCGAAATTTATTGTTAATATATAGTATAACAAAATATGGATAAGGTGGAGTAGACAGTCGTGGTCCCTCTCAATATGGGTGTGGGAGGATTAAGATTTATTTTTCTAATTAAGTAATTAATACTTGACTGGTCCAAATTCCAAACCCAATTAAGTTATGTGCACATCTCTGCTTTATTTCATTCCAATTTCAGCAAAATTCATCGTGAATTCAATTCATGCCTCAAAAGTCCCATGTGGGTCAATTTTTTATTTAGACTTCAAATATTTATATTTATATTTTTAATAAAAACTAAAATAATGATCGTATATTTAGATATTTTAAAAATTAATTTAAAAAATAAATTGTAACGACCCCGGAAATGTGAAAAAATGAAATGAGTATTTAAACATAAAAAATGCGGAAGCGAGATCAAAATTTCAGTTAACATCCCTTACACGAAAATCAAAAACGTACTTAAAATATAAAAGATTAAACTAACTAAAAGAGAAACTCGAAAATAAAACTATGAATATGACTACAGAGTCTCTAGGCATCCCCTTCGTCGTCCTCCTGCGGAACGGGCTCGGGAACCATGTCTTCCTGATCTGAAATGGTTAAATAAGGAGAGAGCTACACTAGCCCAGTAAGAACATCACGATATCTCACCGTCACGGAGGTAAAGGTGGGTAGAAAAACACAAAAGACCAATGGAGCATGATTTACAACAAATCCTTTTATTTATGATAAAACCTTTACCATCCACTTACCTCGGTGGAATTCGTGAAACAATATAAGAAAACAATAACATTATCACAATAATGGAATAATATAAGCTGTAAAACATAGCACTTATCACGCCTTTTGTAATTCAATCATTATACAACATATTCTTTTCTCATTTACCAGCCTACTAGTATCCATGGGGGTCCCTAGGGGTCCCGCTACCCGTTAACCTTTAACATTCATAATCAGTTTCCAGGGCCCTCCCCATACCCCGTCCGGTATGGGCGCCAAAACCATAAACCTCAATACCCCGTCCGGTATGAGGGTGAAACGGGCCGTCCCCATACCTCGTCCGGTATGGGCGCCAAAACCATAAACCTCAATACCCCGTCCGGTATGAGGGTGAAACGGGCCGTCCCCATACCCCGTCCGGTATGGGTGCCAAAACCATAAGATCTCCATACCCCGTCTGGCATGTGAGACCACAATCCCGGTAGGGTTCCCTACGGACCCGGTCCGTCCACCATCTCCCAGGATATCTAGTCAGGCTGACCCCATCATACAATTATCAGTCTACACAATGTTTCATTTTCCTTTTCCTCAATAAGCATCATCAATTCACATTTAAACAAGCAAATCGTAATTCATGCCAAACAGACAACATACAGTATCAGTTCTTCAGTCATTCAACCCATAATTAATAAAATAGTAATATATGCACTCGAAACTATAAAATGAACACATCAAACCTCATAATGCATTTAAAGTTGTAAAACAAGCCAAATAACAGTAAATTATCAATCACACTAGACTCCGGCTCCATTAGCAACCTTAAGCAATTTCACACATGCGTTAATTCAAGAAATACCGTTTTATCATTTTGAACTTTAATACCGTGATAGGAAATAGGGTGAGGGGTCCTTACTTGTTTTCGGGATCCGAATACGATTCACAGTGCGCCTACAGGCCGTCCCTAATTTTTCCTGAATTTTTCCCGGGGAACTGAAACACACTAACGGTACCTGAACGTGTTCCAAAAAATCTCAAATTAGGCTCAAGGCCCCATTTTGGCCAATATCGCAACTCCGGCATGGCGGCGATTTGCCTCGGGTTGGCTGTTTTCGGCCGTTTCCGACCGAA